ACCCTGGAAATCCTCTTCCTGGGGTGCCTCAGCTGTGTGCAAGGCTCTTGGGGATGAACAGCAGGAAATCCCATTTTCCAGGCAATAGTAAATGCTCATTTTGCAGCACCTTCTCCTCCTGGCCCCAGCCACCCGTCGTTCCCATGCCATATATCCTACACAGGGAACAGGCTATTCACGTAGGTGGGGGGAACATATTCAATAGGGTGGGGAGAACACAAAGTTCCCCTGGTACAGGGGTCCCCTCGAGCCCCGCAGCCCGGTGGGAATGCTGGGAGGAGGCCAAGGGCAGGGACGCGCGCGTGTTCCTACTCGCAGGCACAAAGAAAGGGGAGGATGCCCGATGCAGCAGGGTGGCTGCACGTGGTGGGCTTTATCGCCACGGCAGCGGGGGACTAATGGGCATCTGCTCCGCACCGGCTGGGGATGCTCATGCCCGGCTTCCCCGCCTTGCGCTGGGCTTGCTGCTGTTTTTTTCTCTTGCTCATTTGGCCACCAGCAGCAGGGAGGCAGTGGCCAAGGCAGTTCTTGTACGGCATTTCCTACAACCTCTGTGGGGCTGGGGACAGGGCAGGACACACCTACAGCCGCCGGCTCTGGCACCACTCCAAGCTTTGCTTTGGAGGTCACTTGCATGGAAATTTGCTGGAAGGAGGATGAGCACAGCTAGCCTGGGGCTGAGCCCTGCTGCCCATGCTGCCTCCTGCCCACGCTGCCTCCTGCCAGGCCTTCAGCCTCAGCTCTTGGTAACAGCACGGGGAAGGATGGGGAGATTCAGGGTGGATGCTCCAGGTGCTCCTGGCTGGGGTTTATCCATCAGCTGGGAGGAAAAGGCCAAGAGCAAGCTGCAGTGGAGGGACCCAGGCTTTTCCTTGTTTGACTTTAAAAGAAAATATTAATTTGCCAGCCCTGTAAATAATTAACTACTAATTCCCCAGGAACTCTGAAGTACTCATAGAAATGCTTATATTTGTTAAGTTGTATTTTTAGCTGCTGCTAGTTGGAGGAAAACAAATGCTTTTCCCCCATTCAGTGGTTCTGTAAAATGTGGCTGTCTCACATCCCCCAAGGGTTTGTTGTTTTTTTTTTTTTCCTGTTTGACATACTTAGTCATAACAGTCAGCTTTTTATAACCCAGAAGCCTAAAATCCATCCTCGAGCACATATTCAACACCACCTCAAGCACAGAGCAAAGCACGCAGGATCAGCCCCGAGGGCCAGCAGCCAGGGATGGGACGGGTGCCCCACATCCAGCCCTGCTCCTGCCCCTCCGCCCCATGGGACTCAGCTTTCCCACCCGTGAGATGGGTGGGTTCCTCCCAGTGGTGCTGCTTGCTGGCCCAGGGCTGGAGTAGGGTGGTGGCAGGTTTGGCACAAGCTGTGGAGGTGGCAGGCGATGGCCCCAGCTGGTGGCAGCATGGGGGGGAGGAAGGGGGATGCTGTGCAGGAGCTGTCTGAAACCCTCCCCAAAACACAGCCTTCTACCTGCTCAAACCACAGCTGGTAAAGCCAGAGCCCACCCCCGAGCGCAGGACATACCTGAGTCAGCATCTAGACCTCCTTCAACTGGGCAGTAGCATCCACTGGGTGCTGTGTGCTGGGCTATACTGGGACCTACAGCAGCATCACTGATCCCCCCCCAGCTGGGGAGCTGCTGCTTCCCTCCACCTGCTGCCAGGGGTGGGCTCCCAGCCCCTCTGCCTGTCCCATGGGCCCCCAGCAACCAGAGGGAGGATGGTCCATGATGCTGCAAAGTTAGGATGGGTTTGGGTCTCCCCTGTTTGCTGGGAAGGCAGATCCTTGCTTGGCTGCCTGGAGTTTGCAGCTGCCCCATAGAATCATAAAATCACAGAATGGTTTGGGTTGGAAAGAACCTTAGAGATCACCCAGTTCCAACCCCCTGCCATGGGCAGGGACACCCTCCACTAGCCCAGGTTGCCCAACGACTCAACAAGCCTGCCCCTCCAGGGATGGGGCATCCACAGCTTCTCTGGGCAACCTGGGCCACTGCCTCACCACTGTCACCATAAATGCCACCAGCTGCCTGGCTCCTTGCAGGACAAGGTGCAATGGGGTGTCAGTAGGGCTCTCGGGGTTCTTCGAGGGCTCTTGAGGCTGGCTCAGTGCTTGGGCTGAGCCATTTCTCCCCATCTTCTTGCCCCAGGTGCGGCTGGTCATCGCGGAGAAGGGGCTGCCCTGCGAGGAGCGGGACGTCAGCATGCCCCTGATGGAGCACAAGGAGCCCTGGTTCATGCGGCTCAACCTGGGGGAGGAGGTGCCCGTCATCATCCACAGGGACAACATCATCAGTGACTACAACCAGATCATCGACTACATGGAGAAGAACTTCACGGGAGGTAAGCGGTGGGCGGTGGGCTGTGTCTCTGGGGGGAACTCGGGTCTAATCCAGATGTTGTTTGCCAGTTGCGTCCAGTTTTGACTGGAAAGTTTCAGCTTTACCCCAAAAGAGCAGGAAGCCACCAGCCCTCCACAAACTTTTGCATTTTCCCATGAAAATGCAGGATTTCCAGCAGAAATCCCCAAATGTCCCTTGGAAGTGCTGCTGGAGAGCTTGGGGGTGGGGGGGGGGATGTAGTTGGGTCCCCCCTTTCTCTGCCTTGGAGGCCACACTCCCAAACTGGACTGGTTCCCCCCATCCCAGGGGGTGCAGTGGGGCACGGTCCATGAGAATGCTTCTGGGTTTGGCCACCTTTGCACTTTGGCCTCGGGCAATGGTATAAAACCCGCAGTAACTCCTGGTAAGTGGCCCCGCAGAGAGAAGGTGGGTTTGAGCCAGGTGCTGCTGCCACTCTCCCCTTCCTCGGTGACCCCTGTGCCACCAGCCATAGGCAGGGGACCCTGCCGTCTCCAGTACTGCTGTGCCTCCAAGAAAACTGCCTCTTTAAAGTCAACCAAAGCCGGCAGTTCTGGGGACCACGGGAGGATGATGTGACACAAGCCCAGAGGAAGGGACAGCCAGGGGAGGGAAGCTCGTACTCCCCCAGAGCAGGGCTGCAGCCAGTGGCCAACAAGCCCGGCACACTGGGATGCTGAGACAGTGGTCAAAGGCGGCTTTTCATGGGACCACTGCAGCAAGCAGCGTCTCCTCAGCATCTCGCGTCCCCTCACCCTCCTTTCCCCAACCCTGCGGGCTGTCGGGCTGGGACGCTCCGTCAGGGAGGCTTCAAAGCGCAG